ATATAATTTCTAGATTTAGAATATAAAACTGAAAATGTTGATAACCAGACAAAAATACTTGAGGAGGTTGATTGGCAACGATGATTATGCTGTCCTTTGGTTGCGATAACACTAACCTAGAATAATAAATTGATTGTATTTTTAAGTTAAAAAACAAAGGTTAATTTGGTGAATAATAAATTGATTGTGTTTTTAATTTTTTTTTTTTTAAATTGCATGATGTGGTCATATTATAGCCTATGGTCAGATCAAGTTAATGAGTTACAATCTGTTTTTATGGTTAATAAATTGATTGTGTTTTAATTTTTTTTTTAAATTGCATGGTGTGGTAATAAATTGCATGTGTTTGTTTTGTTTATAGATTGATTAGTGGTAAAAGGAACTACTCCATGGCTGATAAGCATCCATCGTATAGATTTGATCTAACTTATTTACTGATATAGAAAGATTCAAATCACCATCGTATAGATTTGATCTAACTCATTTATGACTACTCCATGACTGATATGGTTAATTGAATCCAGTTTGTCTATAAAAAAAACCAAAATGAAGTGAAACACATATACGTTTGCTTCCTTTTCAGTTTTAAGAATATGTGCAAGAGACTTTAAAATCACTTTGGTTCCACCATATAGAAGTTTAACATCTTCCGTGCATGCTTTTAACTTCTTCATTGCCGTGAAACTCCAACAAGCTCATCTTCTCCCAACCTTCCACTTTAGTGATCAAACTTACGTAGTCATTATCAACTCCACCAAGTTTCACTATCTTCTCTAGGGACTCCAACGTCTTCCTCAACAACTCCGCATCGGATGAAGTCGTCAATAGGTTGCAAAGTCCTTGGATGCAACCTATTGACGCAAGAAACCTACGAAATGCAACCAACCAAAGTGTCTTGTTAGTTAGGAATAAACTAAGAGACACATACAAAGGGTAAGTTTGTTGAGAAAATGTCCAGTTTATTTGAAACGTCCAGTTTAAAAAGGATAAGTTTTTGAGAAAATGTCACCTGAATTTGAAAATCATCACCGCAAACTATATTCCCAATCGATCGGAGAAGTGGAAACAGTATCGAAGCCGATGGAAAGGGATCACTAAAACACAATACACAATGAAGACAAATCAGTTTGATGGTAAGTAAAAAGATACTTACACCAAGAGTTTCACGAGCTGAGGGATGACACATGTTTCACGAGGTAAGGAAATTAATAACTAACTAGTGTTTTGGAGTTGC